TGGGGAAGAGGGACTAGTTACCAAAAGATGGATTTTTCACTAGTGATGATTATTTCATGTCTAGTGACAGCAATTGAGCATGCAGCAAATTGCAACGTATCTGTAAATGAATGTGCAGCTAATACTTGCTACATCTGGACAAGTGTATTTGTCTGCAGGGTTCCCCAGATATTTATTTTTCATTCTGAACATGAATTGGTGGTTAAAGAGACAACTGTAGTAATATATTCATAACATGCCTGCATGGAATTCATTTATCAACTTTGTTGCAGGCTCATTCATTCTGGCGGGGTTTTGCTCATTAAAACGGATGGGCTGCGTCTAGACTGGCATGGATGCTTTTGCGCAAAAGCATCCGTGCCCAGTGTAGACGCGCTTTTGCACAAGAAAACTCCGATGGCCATTTTAGCCATCGGGCTTTCTTGCGCAAAAAATTAAGGTGCCTGTCTACACTGGCCCCCTTGCGTAAGTATTCTTGCGCAAGAGGGCTTATCCCTGAGCGGGAGCGTCAAAGTATTTGTGCAAGAAGCACTGAATTCTTACATTAGAACGTCAGTGCTCTTGCGCAAATTCAAGCGGCCAGTGAAGACAGCTGGCAAGTTTTTGCGCAAAAGCGCTTGCTTTTGCGCAAAATCTTGCCAGTCTAGACGCACCCATGCAGTTTTGTTCTAATCCTTTGACCCTGCATAGCCCATGGTAAAGATCGGTTTAAAATAGGGATGTAAAGAGTGTAGCCATGTAAATGTAAGCATGAGCTTATCTATTACCCAAACTGCTACATGGTTACATGTAGCTCTCAGTCTGGCTCCTGGGGGGCTGCCTGTATCAGAGGCAGCAGAGTGGGGCAGCAGGCAAGGACTGGGAAGTGCAGGGAACTGGCTTAAAAGCCAACTCCCTGTGTGCACCAGCTCCTGGGAAGCTGTCCTGCCACGCTGCTGCCTCTGTATCAGAGGCAGCAGCGTGGTGCAGCAGCCAGCTCCCTAGGAGTGGGATGGCAGGCATACACTGGCTTCCAGGGAGCTGGTCGCTGCCCCACATGTAACCATGTAACTGCTGAAATTTTCAGTGAATATGCCTTTGAACTGGTCAGGACTTCACTGAGCTGGGAGAGCAGCCCTGAGGACCTTGCCAATATTTTAAGCCTTGAGGATCTGAACAGAGTGGCGGCGGCAGCAACCGAAACCACATGGGTAGGCTTTCATTACAACACAGCTACGAGGGGGCTGAGCTGGTGCAATGGCCTCGCTTACAGCAGTGCAAGCCGGATGCCTGATTTAAACCCCTGCCTGTTTACACCAGGCTGTGTGGAGCAAGGTTTATCCTGCTGCTGCTCCCGGATTCTTGCAACCTGGAGCTCCCCGTCATCCGCTCCCACGCTAAGTCTTGAGTCGCTTCCCAGCTCTGTACCATGGGAATTCTTCCTGGCAGATCCCTTTCAGATAAACTATAGTCCGGCTTGAGCCAGATGTTATGCCACTCTGCTAAAGGCAAACTGGCCCCATGGAGACCCTGGATTTGAAATAATTTGTGTGTTGATATTTCTGGGAATCATGCAGGCAGATGTGTTCCCAGGCATTTACCCTTGTCATGCCAATACACTAGTCAGCGTGTGATGCTACTGGTACAGTGGCAATGGATGGGAAGCCTTTTACTTTCAAGTCAGTGCAAATGTGGCAAAGATCACTAGTGACTCAGTTGATCAGTTGTAAAATATTGTCTAGGGTGTGGTAGCCGCACCAGTACCAGGATAGTCGAGAGAGACAAGATGAGCAAGGTAACGCCTCTTATTGGACCAACTTCTGCTGGTGAGAGAGAAACTCTTGAGAGAGACAAAGCGGCACAAACTGAATCTGGTCCAATAAAAGACACCACCTCATCTACCTTGTCTCTACAGTAAATATTGCCCAGGTGGGGGAACACGCAAAGAACTGGTGGGGCTTAGCCCAGTTCCTTGTGAATGTGATCACATTATAGGACCATAACCATTACCTGTGCCAGGGAATGGCCAACGATCAAACAGACAAAGACTCTGAAGTGGCAGGTCGGGGCAAAGAGGCAGCATGTTCTGCTACACCTGGAGATTCCCAATTGCTGTAATGAACAACTGACACACAGCATGGCCCAAAGGGCTTTTTAGGAGATGGGCCACTTTAATTACTCCAGAGTGGTGAATAAACTTCCGAGTGTTTTGGTAAGATAAGCAGCCAAACAATTTATGTTGATCTCAGCATCTTTGGTCCCAGGACAGAGCTAGAAATCTCCCGAAAGCAGGTTTTCTTCTATGATTTCCTGTCTCTGGTGGCTTTGGCCAATAGAGAGAGAATGTGAGAACAGGTTTTCTACACAGCCCTGTTGTGCCAATAGAAGCCAGTAGATTTTCTATCACCTAGACCATGAGGACATAAAACAGCAGCTTCTGACTGAGGTGAGATGTAGTCTTTCAAAGAGGATCCCTGCGTGAGTCTTTTGCAACATGCACACAGTTCCTGGTGTTACATGCAGGAAAAATGAGCTGGTGGCACAGAAAAAGGGAGTTGCATACAAGCATGAGCCAGAGCAGTCTACTGTATTTGTTGACGGCTGAAAATTTTCTTCCTTTGGGCGCACCTTACGAGTGAGACACATCCCTCTTCCTATGCAACTACTACTGCTATCTACACATTCATCCGTCTGCAATCTAAGGTCTGGCAACAAGGAGAAAGGAACGATAAAGGTTTTACCATCCAGCGCCATGATGAGAGTCTTTCATTCCCTATTCATGTCCATTCCTCCTCACTTCTCTTCGCTTTCAGAATCTCATCACTGGGATGTTCCTCTCCCGCAAGGTCCCTTCTATAACCATCGATGTAAATTCTGAGTCCAGCTGGCAGATGCCAACGGTGAAACAATGGCCCCAGACCCTGCTAACTGCTGTGACAGCGTCCAGCACGCAGATGGTAGCCCCCACTCCCTGAACAGACAACCCTGAATTGCTCTGACACTGGGCTAAGTATCAGGGGGTGGGGGAGAGGGGAATGACATTTCCTGCAAGTAGTGGAAGGCTGGTTTGAGTCACAGAACCCTATTTTCTGCTACATCAGGGTTGTGGCAGGTTCCCACTGATCTAATAAAGGACAGCAGAGAGTTGATCCTTACTCTGGCTCCATGGAAACAAACCAAACTATTCATTTGTGTCTACAGCCAGGATATTCAATCTACACCCGTGCACTGAAAAGCAGTAATTCAATACACCTAAGCACACAGGGTTATTTAACATGCAGGGGCTGGGAGAGAAGATGGACAGGAAATGCATGGTGTTTGGGAGGTGGTGAGAAGTCTCTTTTTAGGAGGCTACTGATTAAGCAAGCTTGTCTTCCACAGATTTAGATGGATGCAGCTTTTCTGTTAAGTAGAAGCATGCATCCTAATATCAATATAAGCAGAACACTTCTTATTCTTACATTCTTCAATAGAAGAAACACTAAAGGGACGTTTTCCAATAGGGTCAGCTATGAACTGGGACAAGACCAGACCAAAGGACCCAGCACTAACATGGAGATCTCAAAAGAAGAAAAAATGCTTCTTTTGGTACAAGTAATTTTGGACATTGGAAGCAGAGTGTGCATGGGTAGTTCTTAGATAATCCACACTGCTGCTTTCTTGCTCAGGAGTGAGACCCCCTCCTCCCGAAGCGCAGTAAGTCACAGCACTGCAAAATGCCGGTGTAAACAGGCTCTCAGCACTGTTAGCTACTCCCCTTACGGATGGTTTACCTACAGCGCTGGGAGAGCTGCCATGGCTGCGCTTTAAACTTACAGGTGTAGACAGAGCCCCAGGAAAGGTACAAGGAAATTATCGTTTCTCTCTCGCGGAGGACATGGACAAGAGAATTCTTAACCAGAACTTTATTTGTTGTGCCCTGAATCCCCATTCGTGAGTAGATCCCCCCCTTGTGTTGTGCAATGTAGAGGCATATCAAGCCAGGCCCTAGCCCAAAGAGCTTTCTGTCTAAATAAGGACAAGACATTTACAGGTATGTGTAGAACAAAAGAGAGATGGGCGGGTCAAAGCGTGACAAGAAATAGGAGCACAAAGTTGCATATATTCATATATATTGTACAGTTTGAAGATTCAAGGCCTTTAAAACTCTGTGTATCAAATGACAGTTTTAAAAATAAGCTTTTACCAAATCTACGCCCAACAGAAAGCTTTCCGCTTTCTGCAAAGGGAGAGAGGTAGTTGGAGGGACTTTCCACTTTTTGCATTCTCTTACGATTCATATGTATGGATGACAAATATAACATTACCAACAAGCCGCTACCCTGCGTGACTCTATGTTTAAACATTCCCTTTAAGTGGCTGCTGCAGAAAGATTGTGCCTGGCTAGTACAAGAGAACCTGCAAATTAGGACTTTACTACAGACAAGGGAAATGGAGGTGACTGATGGCCTAAGAGGATGAAGGAATTTTTTTCAAAGAACTTCAGGAAGGATAAAGTTTAGAAAGATGGTGGGAGTAGAGAGTACTTCTCCTGTTTCACCACAGTGTGTCGCCCTCTCTCTCCATTCTGTGTGTGCAAGAAAATTCAAACCTAGGGAGAACCACTGTGTGAGGAAGGAGAGTGACGTGAAAGGGACAACATTTAACAACTGAGGCCAAACACGGCACCAGCATTGCACACCAAGATCAGTGAGTAGAATTCTGGTTTCAGGGATCTCTCCTGTAAAGAAGCAAGAGAGAGAAATGACAGAGCACAGTCCTCACCAGCGAGCTGCAATTTCAAAGCCCAATGTCGGATGCTCTCTTCGGGTCATAGACCATCTCCATGTCCTGCTGCTCACAAAAGGAGCATCTCACCTGGACAGCTCGCAGTTACAATGCACAGTGTTGTGTTATACCAACCCCTTGCAATTTTTCACCCATTAGTAATAAAAAGAGGACAAAAAAAGTTACCCCACCACGTATGTACACTCATCCAGAAGTGAGAGCAATAGGAGTTTAGTCAAGGCAGGTGCACCGAGTCCAAATTGTTTAAAGTTAAAGTTTATTTGTATTCTTTGTAGGAATATCAATAAAAGACCTCGAATGTATCTATATCTGTACATATACAAGAACCTTGAAAATTTATTCACAGAACAAAAATAAATCTTCTTTAGAACAAACCCAGGCAATGAAATGCAGAGATGGAGCTCAGAGACCAAACAGTCCAGTGCTACTAGCATAAAAATATGGTTTTGAAAACCAACTTTATTACTTTAAGGTGTAATTTTTGAACTAAAAATAAATTATTTAGAGCGATCATTGTAAAATAGTCCTGTGTAGTAACACTCTCATTAAGGCCCTTGAGATAGAAAATCTATTTTTACAGGTAGGATTCCTGGCAGGAGTGATTCACAATGACAGTGTCTCCCTCATGGGAGCTAATTTAATGTAGGGAAGGAAGTGTCTAAAAGCATCAACCTAAATTTAACCCTTTAAATCTATCCCACACTCTGTTGGAGAATAGTGGTTGACCAGATAATGTCCTACTTGGTTAATGTTAATCAACAAAACAAATATACACATTCGAATGGAACACACAAATTGTCCCCCAAGAATGATGCAGACATTTTTACAGAACACATAAATAGGATTTGTACAGACATCACACTGGTGACTCAGCAAATGGAGATGGCAAACTTACACTGCATACACCACTGTTAAATCACCAACCCCTGGATTAGCTAAAAGCCAGTGGTTTGAACTAGGATTAGAGCATGAAATTAATGTAAAAAAATATGACACAGCATTTGCAACAGTGTAAAAGAAAAACATTTCTGGAATGGCTGGATGCATGAATATGAAGGTTATCCAACCACAGAACACAATCTATGTTCACTAGCTAGGAAATATGCACATTTCTCTCCACTCTGCTCTAGGTTCTCTCATGATAGGAGAGAGAATGTTTGAAATGTGCAGCTATATGATCTGTGTATGTCTTTATGTACATGAATACCAATTTTCTATACACTGAAGAAAAACAGTAGATGCTTAGTGGCTCCAACTCCCACCCTTGTTCCTTCCTCAGGACCTGAATTCCCTGTGTTGTGAAGAAGGGGCCTTTGGATTGGGCAACCTTTAGGCCATTCGGTCGGCCTTAGCACCACCTCGTCCTGAGGTATTCACTGCTTCTCTTGCCAGCGTGATTACTTTTGTCCCTCAAACGCAGCATACAGCATTCAGAATTTGAGAAAGTGCTGAAGCGCAACACGGTATTGTACTTAACGGTCACACCACAACCAGGTCAAGAGTTTTTATTTAAAATTCAGAAATCCGACTGACTGGCCTAGGAAAAGATGTGTCAGTTAATTTGTCCTTTGAGAGGGACCACTAGAAAGCAGGAATTGTGAATGTGGCCAGCAAGCACACAGTGATACAGACAGTGCTTCTACACCTTGCCAAGAGGCAGTAGAAGAAATAGCACCGCAAGCACACAATCAATAGCTGGCCACATTCATGACTTCGGCCTGAGGCCGCTGTGGGCGTGTCTAGAAAGCAGTGTTATTTTGGGATACTTCCTGTATCCTGAAATAGCCTTTTCCGTGTCTTGACGGTGGGCCCATTATTTCAAAATAGCTTTCGAAAAAAACGGGTGCGCTATTCTGACATCCCTGTAAACCTCGTTCCACAAGGATTAAGGGACGTTTTAGAGAACGCTCTATTTCGAAATACACTTGAAATAAACTACACATGCACGTAGCTCAAACCGCATAGCTTATTTGGAACTATGGGTGCAGAGTAGACGCACCCTGTGTGACTGTAATAGCTCCTGAGAATGCAAAGGTATATCGTGCACGCCTTCTGTCAGTCAGCATAGCTCAGATGAAGGGGACGGAAATTAGATTTAATGAAAGTCACAAAAAGTGGAAAGATACAGTTTTAGATTGAGGCTTGGAGAATCAGTTGGCAAGTGCCATTCCTTAAAGTCAAAACAACGTTCAACCGCAAACTGAGATGCTTAATGGAAATCAATGGCACCAGAGAGCTTGATACAAGGAATCCTTCCTTTCCTTTTCCATTGGCAGCCCTATCCCAATGCTTCCCCAATACAGACACACACAGGGAAGCAGTGAAAAGTTGATAAACATATATGGGTTCGAGAGACTTATGCAGTCTTCCTATATTACCCTCTGCTGTCCTCAATTGAAGGTGGCCCCTATCTCCCATAACAGCATGACATGTGGCCTGCTACATTTGGGTGATCTGTCGATTTACGAGCCTGAAGCCTATTAAGTTCATCATTCAGTTTTTGCTCTATTTATTTTTCCGTTCATTCCTGCATTATCATAAAACATGAGGGCTGTGGCCAGCTCCAGCTCCCTCAGAAGCATTAGCCTAGCACCACTAGAATGACATCTCAACTGAGTCTGTATGTCGATATAAATCTTCTTCTAGTCCCCACAAAATAATCCACAGAAAGCATTCAATGGCTCCTCTAGAACTTAAAAATCCTACCCACACCATATGCTTTATATACTATATGATTAAAGTACACACCCATGTACAGGGCTGCATTTGGGAAAAAGATTTTGCATAGCACAGCTGGGTGAATATAATCCAGGGTAATTATAGTGAATTTCACTGAATTTGGGTGCAGCTATATAACATGGGGTAGGCATGTAGTAGCTGCCCGTAAGCCACACAAAAAAGCTGAGCTAAAGGGGGTTTTACTGGACAACAGCTTCTTGTAAAAATGTAAGAGCTACTCACAACGTATAAATGGATCAACAGCTATTACTCTGAGTGCAGCCTTGGCACATGGTTAGGAGAAGAGGGTGAAAGGCACAGCTCCCAAGGGAGAAAATAGCAGGGGTCACATGACCCAGAGCTGGAAAACATCGTTTGGAAAGTTAAAAAAAATCACTTCTGTGCAGATCCCGTACACAGCCTCATGAGTGCAAAAGCCTCCACAAACTTGTCTGTGCTGCTTCATGAACATTAAGCAGGGCTTCTCCTTGCTACCAACCATGTCTGAGAAGTCTGAGGAAGAAGCAGCAACTTTGAGTGGACAGAACTTTAAAAGTTAATTTCTACTCACTTCAGGTAAATCTGCTACCTCTCAATGGAAGTAACTGCCAAGGTCTTAGTTAAGAGAGATTCATACACTTTTACATTGTATGTTTTACAGTACAGGAGAGATGATCTCTCTGATTTTCTGCATAGTTAGTTATTTACATACATCTGTGTGTATGTTGAATGGAAGTAACTTTTAATTTGCATTGTTTACATATTATGCTTCACAACAAAGAAACAGAATTGGCCTGCAGGGTTAAGCTAATTCATTTCTAAACAGCAAACAAATTTGGACAAATGACTCTGAATTAGGGTCATTATCAATATTACCAACTCCGAGAGATCAGAGAACTCAAGTTAGGTCCCCCAAAATCGTGCAATTGGCTTAAAAATCCCAACATTTTTAAATAAGTTTTCATAGATTCATAGTGTTTAAGGGCAGAACATCAGATCATTTAGTCAGACCTCCTGTGTAACACACAGGGCCTCAAACATCACCATGTATTAAGCCCAATAACTTGCGTCTAATGCATATCTTCCAAAATGGTAGCCAGTCTTGTCCATCTCTTCTGATCAGTCCACCACTTCCCTTGGAAGCGTGTTCCAATGATTCATCACTCTCAATGCTGGAAATTTGTACCTAATTTCTTGTTTGAATTTGGGGTCCTTTTTACTTGCATTGTGTTGAGACTTTAGGGTTCACATGTTCATGCTTTTCTTTGCAATAAGAGCTAAAAAAATACTTTTTACCAACTGAAAGTGGAGAGTCCCACAATCATTTGACTTCAGAAGCCTACGCTTTTACAAGAAACACACTTAGTATCCTCAGACCTCTGATAAACCCATGAGAGTTGGCAATAGTGTGTAATACCTGTTAACCTTATATGGCATGTGATATTTCAAATTTTACATATTGTGAATATGTATAAGCTACATCTTCCTTCCTAGAAGGTCACTTTATAATTTCAGGATGAGCGTTCATGTACATCCTGCAAAAGTCTGCTTGTGGGGGAAGCAAGAGCAACATTATGGGGCACATTGAGATTCAGCTGTAAACTCACCTAGGCAAAAAATACAGAACACAAAAAACATTGACAGACAGATGAATTTAATTTGGGTGGGGTGAAGATGTTAAAAAAAAAAAATCACGAATAGTCTGGAAAAAGCCTTTCTGGATGTTGAGATAGCTGATAACCCAATGGGTGAAATGGTAAAACCGAACAAGACAAAATGAAAAATAAACTAGGAAAGCTTTATTTGACGTTCACTGATCTATTGCACAGGGCCTGGCTGCCCGTTGGTTAGCCCTTTCCTTATGGTACTAACCTGATTATTTCCAATGGAGAGTGGGTAACTGATTCAGATAGCTACTGCATTGAGACAATGGATTATGTGCACACTGTAAAAAAAAACACAGGTATTTACAGTTTTGTAAACTCTAAAAAGGAAAAAAAAAATCAAACCTTACTATAACTGGGTTAAAAAAAACACCTTAAAACTGCATATTCCCTTTGTCTATTCGGCGGGAAGCCTGGCTTTGGGCAGACATGGGCTTCCTGCTCCAAAGAGGGCCTACACAGAGCGTTCAGAGAGACCGGCAGAGCCTTTTGCCTGTATCCTAGCAACAGTAGATACAGAAGCCAACAGGAGCCAGTCTTCCTGCACGAAGGTTGGGTCTGGCGTTCGTATTCGATTGCAGAACTGAGGCAGAGAAGGTTAAAAGTCAGCAGAGAAGTCTCTTGTATAATTCATTTCACTAATATTTCACTTCACTCCATGTGCTTGTATCAATCAGTCTGTACAGCTTCTAAGTAACCAACTGCTTCCGTCTCACTCGGCCGCTCACCCACACCAGACATGCACGCACACACTCCTCTTCCTCCCCAAGACTGCAGTGCTTTCAACAAGAGGAAAAAATAATAAAAATAGCAATAATTAAAAAAATCTACATGACTGACTTCCTTTTGCTATGTTACAGCAGCAATTTCTGTACACGGCCCACAACAGGCTCCCTATGTATATACACAGCAATATGGAGGGCCCTTGCCCTTATTATCCTGGTCTGAACAGTGGGCTGTATTTCCCCACACCAGTTTTTCTTTTAGCAGCATTCTGTAAACCTGTAACGAGTCTGTGTTTGGCTTCATGGAGTCTGCCTCCTTTTGCCCTGCCCCTGGGGAGATGGCATGCAGCATCAAACTTGTTAGCAGCTGCTGTTTTTGAATTCACCATTCTCCGTGATGGAAAGCTTGGTGGGGTTTGTGGGGGAGATGCCATTGCGGACTTGCATGCTGTACCGCTCCTTCACCTGCGTCAGGGCACTCATCAGCCGCGTGTTGGCTGAGTCCAGAGACACGATCCGCTTCTCCTGAAACACACACAATATATAAGAGCCATTCCGCCCAGCACAGCACTTCCTTAAACCCTTTCGTTACCAGGAACATCCATTGCCTGGGCTCTGACCAAGTCTTCAGGTGCTTTCTAGGCAGATATACCCATGTCAACATTCCCCTGTGGAACAGGGACGTCTCTGCCTCTTTCTGTTTTTTTGGAGGTCCCATGTCTCCCTGGGTTCTTTACATGATAGAAGCTGCCAATAAGTCATTGTTAGACTTGGTTAACTAATTCAGCCACGGGGTGATGTAATTTGGGATTTTGACCCTCAGAAACCTTTCACCAGGCAGATGGAGGCCCAAAAGCCTTCCTGCATCTAGACTTTTTTCTCTTACCGGAAAGTTTGGAAAACAGAAACAGGCAGCAGCACAGTAAGGGGTGGGAGGTTTCATTTTGCAACAAAAAGTGCAGGTGGTCTGTAAGGGTCATTATCTCTGAAGACTGCGCGAACAGTCCTCAGTATAAACCCCCAGTATGTTTGAAAGTAAAACAAGAAATAATGGCAGCCTGCAGTTACCAGCAACGGTGAGAGTGCAACAGCAACAAAGGAGAAAAGCAGCCGAAAGCTATAACTAAGGGGTTACTTTGAGGGGGGAAGGGATAAGAGGCAAGTGTGGGTGGAGGAGGAGATGGCATCAACAAAACACAAAAAATGAACAAACAGAACACACTGTTCCTAGACCCATTCCAGCTCGGAGTTCCTCCAGGACTCTAAAATCAGAGCTTCTCTCGTTCTGGTTTTCATGCTTCTGGCACAGAACGTGTGAGCCTCCACTTCAAGCAATGACGTATTTAGAAGCTAAGGGGCACTTGAATGCACTAAATAAATAAAAAAATTAATCAACCAGGCTATCTGAGGTGGGGCACTGAGGAGGGGGATTCAAACCAAGAAGACTGAGGTACCAGTTAGCTTGCAATATTTGTCTTGCCTTTAAAAAAAATGCAACCACACAAAGCAGCAGTGGACACTGCAGCAGGTAGACATGCTCTCAGTGCTACCAGCCAACTGGCTTATTTTATATTCTTGGTTTCTTGTTTGAAGCTGCATGCAGGGACTCTGCCTAGTCCAGCCCCAGCCTATCGAGAAACAAAGGAAGGGGGAAATGATGTACAGAAGGCACAAACATTAAGGGACAATTCAGACATGATGCTCAGGAGACATAAGTTTTACATCAGCCCCATGAGGTTCACATCCCAGCATGTCAGATGCATGGTACATGCGCTATCAGGGAGAATGTTTGCTCTTCCCAAAGGGTTTCCCCAAGAGAATAAAGGCAGGGGACCCAAAACAAAACAGAGTTTAGGTGCTGCTTGTGTAACAGCCCTTTGCAGACTGAGCTATGTGTATACCAGAGCTGATGCAAGTAACAGGGTCAGTAAAGATCAATAGCGAGATCAGGACATGACCATTCGTCGTTCTAGCATTTCACCACTTCCGGTCCAGAAAGGGGGAAAAAAGAGGGGGCAAGACCTAAGAGGTAAAGCATCAGCCCTCCCTTCCACACTGTAGTGAGGAGATAGATTTAAAGGAAGAGAGAAAAATACCTGACTTGGCAGAAATTTGTTTCCTCAGCCTGTTGAAGTCCGTTCCTCCCCCAATTGACTCTCCCCGCTTATTTTAAAAAATAAAAGTTTCTATTAAAAAGTTAACTTTACAAAGATTTGAAAATGGACGGCTAGGGTATTTCCTGGCACTGACTGAGCATGCTCAGTACTTAAGGTAATTGCAAACCAGATCAATCATGGGTAGAACTACTAAAAAGCTTCCACTGTAGCATTACTCTTGAAGGCATGAGCTTGGTGAGCAAAAGGAGATGCGCCCTGCTGACACCGCCTCACCCAAAGGAAACGCAGTCTAACCAAACACGTTCCTAATGCCCATGAATTAAGTGCAGGGAGTGGTAGGAGCTGGAATGTGTAGGAGGTCAGTGCACCAGGCCAGGGCTGGATACTGCTCAGCTAGAGAACTGATTGGGTTACTTGCCTGTTTGAATTATCTCATCCCCATTTATGACCTGTAATTTAACACAGTGGAGATGTCACTTGCAGTAGTAACTGAGCTATTTCCTAGAATCACAGAATCACAGGTTTAGAAGGGACCAAGGGAGGCAGCTAGTCCAACCCCCTGCCAAGATGCAGGATTTGTTGTGTAACTGCTGTTCTCTGGGGAGCTTACCAACAACCCAGACCCCTCTCTCCTCAATCTGAGAAGCACAGAGAGGGCCTTTGGAGTCACAACACCTACAAACACCATACGGTGAAGCTGTGAGTAATGGACATAGGTTAAGGCGAAGACTGTTGCGCTTAGCTTAATAACGGATGTCTCACCCTGCACACAGGACTAGATGGCAATACCTGCAAAGCATTCTGGGAGGAAGACAGAGACAGGAAGTCCATGTCCTTCACTGCAGTGTCCAAGCATCCACTTTAATGTTCAATAAGAGAAGCCAGGAATCAGTTCTGTTCCAAGTGCCTCTAAAGAGAATGACCTCCCTACATCCCAATGCTGGGCCATTACACCCCACTGGCCAATAAATCATGGGCTGAGAACAATCTTCCTTCTACGTGTATTTTGAAGCAGATCAATTAACAGTAAAAGAAATCTGGTTCCTGGGACAGTTGTGCCTTCTGCAGCCAGAGTGTTGAGTTCTGGGCCCACTTCCCTTTTCTGCCTGAGGACCCACAAAAGAATTTGCATCACAGCTGTGAAACTATCGGATGACTGGACTGGACTACTGGTATTGTGTGTCTGTGGGTTCGCTGATGAGCTTGCCCCTCCAAACCCGATTTGAGTTTTCTTTTGGGCTCTCCCCCAGAGCTCTGGTTGGTTTGGTGAGCGAGAGGCAAAGTCCAGAAATCAACCTCAAGTTTCCCATATGGATGGTACTAGGGTACTCGGCTGGGAGAAGGAAATTTGATTAAGGGAAAACATCTCTCTGATTTAACAAGGTTCCTTTTCCTAGCCATTGAAACACCGAGCTACGGTATGAGACATATATAGAACTCTGTCTCACATGGCACATCCCAGCAAGCACTTCCCACTGCTGGTGCTCTTGCCACAAACATTTAGCTGTCATGTTGGGGCATTATACCCCTCAGCACAGAGGGATTAACCAACACCACCCCTTTCTTTTGCACGCCGACACTGAGGGATCAGACTTCTCTGGCCTGCAACATCCTCATCATGCGGCTATTGGAGCAGCCACAATATCCCCCGGAGGATGAGAGGCTATTGGCATAGACTGGTAAACCGAGGGAAGGGGAAGTTCCTCTCTGCTCACACATGATAATTCTGGGATGATTATTGGGTATATAACCCCATCAATTTCTATGCATCTATTACAGTGTTCCTCCACCCCACCATCTCAGCGCTTACATCCTATTGCAGATAGTCATATCCTGAGAGCCAGTTCACAGTCCATACCATCATCTTTGAGGGCCATCTATAAAAGCCTTTTATACTGCCCTGTGTGCCACGTATCCCATCTCTCTACTTCTGGTTGGACACAGCAGATGAAGGACCTACTGGGAGGAAGATGAGCAAGCCCCTCTGTCAGAGAGCTGGCACGGGGGTGTTCAGAGGCATTCACCTTTCTTCCCAGAGTCGAATAGTTTTTGCTTTTTGGACATCCCTGAACTTCATCAGTTTGAGACAGTGAGACTCCGAAATTGTACCTAAGTATGAAAACTGGCTTATTTCATTCACCTCCCTTCCCTACTGCCAGCTCACCTCAAAAGCAACATCAGTCCATGTGGATGAAGAAAGAATCTGGCTACAGGGATCTAAGCGACTAGTGGACTTGTCGGGTAGTTGACTAATTGCTTCTTCTCCCTCCCCTGTTGCTGCCTCTATCAGAGAGAGGCAACAAGTGGAGGGGGAGGGGAGCAGGGGGGAAGAGCAGGAGCAGGTGCTGGGAGGAGCCAGCTTAAAAGCTGGTTCCCCCCAGCACCTTCTCTGTGGGGGGCAGAGGAGGCAAAGATGCAGCATCTGGGACCGAGGAGAGCCCAGACAGCTGATTCTCAGCTCCTGCTCAGGTCCCTGACCGCCCTTGCCTCTTCCTTTTAAATGTATTAAGAGCCTGGGTGCCTCTTAATACACTGAAAAGGCAGAACCGCAGTGGGGTTAGCTCCCGGTGCTGGGAGCTAACCCTGCTGCAGCTCTGCAGCTTCCCCCCTTATTGACTAACTGAGCAGTTGATGGAAATTCCATCGACTACTCGATTAGCTGATTAATCAGTTTAACATTCCTAGTCTATTATTCTGCTTTCTTCACAAGAGTCAAAAAATGAAGTTTAAGCCCCTCATGTTCTCCTCTCTCCTTCTAGGTTTTGAGAAAGGCTTCTATCCTCCCGCTCAGGTAAGCTACATCACAGGAGGGAGACTTCCATTCTGGCATCCACAGTAGAACATCCTGAAGGTGGAGGGGGCCCAGGTATGTGTAAATTGCAGCAGGATTATCTTCTTAGCCTAGATGTCTGACCATCTGAGCGCTGGAGATAACGCCAGGGCCACGGTTCTGTACTCAAGTGATCTGTACATATTAGAGGGCAGAAGTCATATTCTTTAGTTTTCAAGTCTAGTATCATTAAGGAGTAGCCCCAGAAAAGTGCGCCAGGGTGGTGGGGGCAGCACACACAAGGGTTCCTCCTCAGGGGCTGAAACTTTTCAGGATTACAAAATAGAACAGTTCTGCTACCACAAAGTCTTGAGACCTCTTTGCATTATGTACTGTCCATAATGGAAACAAATGGCTAGCACGTACCCTTTCCTCCCTGCTCACACTTCTACTGTAATACACCAACAGCGTCTCCGTCTAGACTAATAGATCATGGATGTCGAGGGTGAGAAATTCCTAGTGCAGCTCAGTGGCTCTGGCCCTTCCAGCCTGCATGAAGGGCGATGACTCTGAACCCGCCTGGGACACTGTTGTTACGTGCATCTTTTGAAGTTAAATGCTTAAAAACGAACTAGGAAGTGACACTAACCACTAACACACATGGAAGCAGGAGAGTTTTCTACACTCTTGAGCATGAGGGGCACTTGACAAACAGTCTCACAAGCACAATGCAGCCAGTAGAGATCAAACTGGTTGTGTAGTTTATCAGTTTAGGTTCTATGGAGGGAGCACTGATGCAGAAGGAAAGCCATAGAGATCTCAAGCTATACTCCCTGGAAGAGTAGAACTGCATTAATTACACCTCCATGCCTCACCCACTAATTCCCTCTCACAGCTAACCTGCATCAGCCAAGGCAAGTGAGCTGTTGCTGTGTAGCATTGCACAATATACTGCTAGAGTCCGGTGTTTGACATCAGCTGACTGTGTTTGTAGTCAGTCTTGGAATAACACCTCCTGTGGCATGAATAGCCAGTGCTTCTTTCTTAGAGGCCTCAGTTAACCACATAGCATACTGCATCACACCGGCGATCAATGCCGGAGTCTTTGTTCAGTGAAAGCAGAATTATCTCCTTGAAGGAGGCAAGTAATTTGTGCAATGCTGTGGCCTGATGCTGGTTTGGGAGCGAGACAATAATGCTGGGGGCTACAGAGTAGCAGCTGCGTGGGACACAAGGATGGGGACTAATGGTTTCTGTATGTGAAATGCTTCATTCTTGGAGATCCAAAACGCCTTACCTGTGCATCTATAATTTTCTGCTTTGCATCAATGACTGCTTGCATCTCAGCATGGTCCTTCTTCAGCTCCTCTTCGACTGCCATTAGCCTGGGACATTGAAAGGGATCGGGAAACTTTAATACAATCCTAGAGTGTTTCAGACAATGCAAGTGTAATGAAAACAAATCCACCCAACCACTGTCTCTCTTCCTTTCAAGATGAATATTCTGCAGACAATTGGCCCCTCTGTCAACTTCAGTTGGTTAAACTCAACCCTTACGTGAGCACCATGCCAAAATTCAACCGCTCTGAATAGTGACAGGACCACTGATTCCAGTGCTTGGAACCCACCCTTGAAAAGGATCGCTTTCCCTTTTTAAAGCAGGGTGGTCTGCCTAATGAGTAGAGCAGAGCCTTAACAGTGAAGGTCTTTGAGTCTTTCCCCAGCTCTGCGTTTACGTCACTTAACTTCTGTGTCTTAGTTTCTCCATCTGTAAAATGGGGATGAGACCACTTGACAAGTGCTGTGGAGTGCAGCTGAGGACAAGAGCTATCTGCAAAGTATTATGCTTTTGTCACAAAGGAATAGGTTAATCAGTTGGGTTTCTTCATACTCGGCTTGCTTTCCACCAAAGCTAAAAAGGGCACCCTCCTCTCACCTGCTAATGATACTTTTCATTTGACTGTCCTTCTCCTCCTGCTGCCGGCGAAGTCGATCCTCACTATCTTCCAACCTCGTCTTGTATTCCATCAGCAGCTTCTGCATTTGCTGCTCCTGCACCAGCAGACGCCGCTCGTACTCCTCTAGTCGTCGGCTCGACACTTTCAGACGATCCTTCAGCTTGGCTATCTCTTGCTCGTACTACAGGCAGGAGTGGGAGGGACAGAATCAGAAACAAAGGGAGCAGGGTGAGGTGGTCAGATATCTGTGTGTGGTCTGTATTGTTTTCTTTAACAACACAGAAAATGAGGGAAATGACAGGAAGGGCTAGAACCAGTCTCTGTGGCCAACTATGGACTACCACACTGCAATCTCTTACTCGCACAACTCGTCACATTTCCTAATATTGCCCTACATTGCCCCTTCTACCCCACAGCTGGGCATCCACACAGCACCTCAGTCCAGATGGAACAACTCCCCCAAGCCTCTCACACAGAAACTGCTACTAGTGCTGATCTCTAGGGTGGTTTTCTGATGTGAACAAACATTCACTCTAGATTAGGCTGGGATCTAAACAACGCATTTTCCTTTCAGACCTAATGAAGGTTTGAAGCCAGATGTCCAGATGCCTAGCACATTAACATGCAGTACAACAGAGCCTCAGGGGAGTTTACTTTCCTGAAATTCCATTCTCTCTCCTGATTGCTCCTTCTGGTCATTCTCCTCCAATAAAGGCATCGACATACATGCATTTCACTCTTCTGTTATAGGTTCTTCATTATTCCTAAAACTCTAGTTTATTTTTATTTTTGCCCAGCAAAGAAAAAAAGAAAAAATGTATCTAGGAGCTTACAACACTGTGACACCTGTACGCCTGCACTCGTATTTGGAAAATAATGCACACTGTTGTGGTACACAGATCTGGCAATTAAATGCTCGGGAACATACTACACTACAGACAGAAGTGAGGAAACTCACATTTTTTCAAATATATTTGAAATTACAAATGTGAAAGAGGTGGACAGTCGTGCACAACACAACAACGGGCATTTTGGTCAGGTGAAGCCCAACACAGGAAGAACTTGACGGTTGCAAAGAAGCATGCTACGTGCCCACACTAATCCTTGCTCTGGCTAATAATCGGACTTATCTTCATGACCCCTAAAATTCACACAAACATTAGAACACTGAGCTGGTAGAACATCCCTAGGACCAGTGTTACTTGTCCATCCTGTCTTCTGACAGTGGCCAATACCCAGGTGCCCAAGAGGGAATGAACAGGACTGATAAACATCCCTTCTTGCCCAGTTCCAGCTTCTGAACAACAGAGACTATGGATACCACTATGGATACCATTCCTACCCATCCTGGCTAAGACCCATTGATAGATTTTCCATGAACACATGGTTGTTGTTTTTTAAACTTTGTTATAATCTTGGCCTTCGCAACATCCTCTGTCAAGGAGTTCCATGGGTTGACTTATGTGTTGTGTGAAAAAAATATTTTTTTGTTTTATACCTGCTGCCTATTAATTTCATTTGGTGACCCCTACTTCCTGCATTATCAAAAGGAATAAATAACACTTCCTTATTTACTTTCTCCACACCAGTCATGATTTTATAGACCTGTACCATATCCCCCTTAGACATCCCTTTTTCAAGCTTTAAAGTCCTAGTCTTATTAGTTACTCCTCATATGGAAGCCGTTACACACTTCTAATGATTTTTGTTACCCTTTTTTGAACCTTTGCCAATTCGAATTCATCTTTTTTAGAGATGGAGCGACCACATCTGCATGCAGTTTTCAAGATGGGGTGTACTATGGATTTATATAAGGCCAATATTTTCTGTCTTAAAATATGATGGAAGTAAACAGCAAGCATCAGCTGTAAGTATATTTACAAGGCTGTTTTAGTCTGTAGAGGTGTTTGACAAGGGTTTCAGACTAAGCTTGCAACCATCCCAACATGCCTATGAACTGGATTAGCTCTACGG